ATATACAAATACTCACAACTAATGAAACTGGACAAACTACAGTCAAACTCCGGATTTAACCGCACTGACCTTGCGCCGAGTCTACGAGACTGTTCTTCTATAATAGCATTCAATGGCGAGATCAAGATCACTGTCCTGGGACTGTGTGAAGCTGACATGTAGGGAAGGCACTCAAAAATCAGTGATTTTCCATAACCGGTAGGCAACAAGCCTATACAATCACTATCAGTGGATGCCTTCAAACAATCAACTTGCTTTGGTCTTAAATATGTGTAACATGAATGACTGTTTGCGTTTACATGTGCTAAAGCAATCTTTGTTTTCATAACAAACTCCATGTCCATGGAAGCCGCCATGTTGAATTGTCTCAGTGACGAATCAGATGTTCCGTACGTAACTACCAATAACCGCCTTGGATGTAATACCCCGTACCTGACCCTTTTCTAAAACCGCCCTCAGCGTTGAAATGGGGCAGGGAACCAGACTAAGAAACGGAAGCGTGTAGAAACACGGAAACGGCGTGAGGCTGGTTTTGATGAATCGTGGAAAAAGACATTTCCCTGGTTAAGGTCAATTGTTCAGGTAAGATTTCGTAATTTTAGAAATAAAATGCCAGTGTGTGTATGTTTTGCCGTTCGTAAGAACACCGAACATGGTAGGCCTACACCGATTTCAATCAACATCTTATTCTTAGACACGAGGCTGGTATAGACACGATATGAAAAAAAAAACATCACTCGTTACTGTCAACTTTTTTTAGATTATTTATGGATATCTTCATAGATTAATGGGTACGCGTATGTTATAATTTGTCCAAGCAAAAAAAAAATCGAATTTTGTAATCTTCCGGTCACATGTTGACCTTTATAGGTATTTCAAAGATGGCGGCCTGTCAACGTCTTGCGAACGACAGCTGCTATCATCACGCGCTATGATCGATGGAATCCCGATTTGTATACATAATTCTATCGTTACGTTTTAATTTTAATTGAATAGTGACCTCATGTTTTTTTCCCCGAAATTCCCTGAGTCTCCTTGTCGTTGACCTGACAAAACCAACATGTAAACAACATGTTTTGCAAACAAAATGCTTGCTATCCATACGGCACTGGGTTCCCGATCGTGGCACAATTCAATCGTTATGTTTACATTTATTTGAACCTCAATCATTGTTTTGTTTTTTTATTATTTTTCATTTTTTCCCACTAGGAATGTTGTGCAGTTAATGCTCAAAGCACAACATGATTGCAAAGAGTGGATCTTCTTTGTGGAACAAAGTCCTGTGCACGTCTATGATGAGTTTAACTACAGTAAGGCAGCCAATGTTTGGAGCACAACGAAGTCAGAAGGAATAGTTTAGACCAAGTTTTATGGAACAGTTCACATTAAATGACGATCTTGTCAAATTATGGTATATTATGTAAAGTATTATGTAATTTAAATAAAGTCTCTCGTACATTTTAATACTGTCTTGTATAATTGTTTTGGTGAGAGTGAATCCTGAAAAATATGCAAATTAGTATGCAAATTAGCATGCAAATTAGACCGCCATGCTTGCCTCGTGACCCTGGGGA